TACCATCAGATGATCCGTCTGCTCGTTTACCGGCTTATGCCATAAAAAAATAATACCTAAATAGCTTTTAAAATCCTTTCTAGATACTTTGCTTGTCTGTGACTGTGAGTAAACTTAAAATATCGTCAGAAGCGAGAGTCGCCTGTAGTTTATACTTTCTGTATCATCATAATACAATAATTAAAACACTTGAAAACAAACAAAAAGTTGTATTGTGTATGAAACTGAGAACCACTTAGGGTTGTCACCAATATGAATATTCACGATGGACCGATGTCGGTTATGCTGAAACTTATTAATATTAATGTTTGAATAAATGCTAGGGAATTCACAGTTGACTGACAAAATGTGGCTGAAATTAATATTCGAGTGTCTGTTTGTTAGTTCCCAGTTTCAACTAAATATAGGTACAATTTTGTGGTACATAAATTATTGTACCTATCATGGTATACCACCTGATAAATGTTAATTACTGTGATAATGTTATGTCAGCTTTCTTCATTGGAGTAATAAAAGAAGTATTCTTCTCCACATTTGCCAACTGCCCCGAAATTGATACAAAAAATTAAACTTTATTCTAATACTCATCATTAGTTTCTCGTGTCGTGTTAAAAACGGTAGGACGCTGTGGGAAATGTTTCTATCTGTACTCCGAAAATACCCCCATTTTTCCATTATAACCTGTTTTATATAAAAACACCTATACGAACCTATTCTTAGGTATAGTGACTGAATTTTTCTACCACAAAAGTCATCTACTAAATACTCAACACGACTCGTTTAAGCAGTAATATGCATTACGCAAAGAAGTCTTGATTTGTGAGCATAATATTAAGGACATAAACCACGGAATCTCCTTTTAATAAAAGTTAAATAATACTCCAAAGCCAGCAAGCAATGAAATACGAATATGATAATGTAATCCAGCATTGCTGAGAATATTGCTGTGCGTTAAATGATTCTTATAGCTTATAAGTTATGAAGAAATCTGTGCAAAGTACTATTTACTTGGTAAGGTATGAGAGCTAACTTTTTTACCCCAAATTTCAGAAGCCTGTACCTAGTAGTACCTAAAAAATCATTTTTTTACTGTGAATGACATGACATATGTACATGTTAACACTAGAAAGGCCGGGAATCGAAATGATCTAACGGCAGTTCTAGGTAAATCATTATTTTATATTTTAAATATCTTATACTATTATATAAAGCGGAAGAGTTTGTTTTTTTGTTTGTTTGTTTGAACACGCTAATCTCCGTAACTACAAGTCTGATTTGAATAATTCTTTTTGTGTTGGATAGCGCATTTATCAAGGATGGATATAAGCTATAAAACATCACGCTACGACCAATAGGAGCCGAACAGAGCGTGTGAAACCGCGCGGAAGTAGCTAGTCTATATATATATAAAAGAAAGTCGTGTTAGTTACACCACTTATAACTCAAGAACGGCAGAACAGATTTGGCTGAAAATTGGTAGGGAGGTAGTTTAGAGCCAGGAAACTGACATAGGATACTTTTTGACCAAAATTTTTTTTTTTTACTTTTTACCGAAAATCACGAACGGGGACGGGAAAATAGGATTACGCGTACGAAGTCGCGGGCAGAAGCTAGTTATGTATAATACAGCACAGATTATTATTAGAAGCTTTATCAAGCACCACGTCTGACATGCAGCTTGATAAATCTATCTATTATAGGCCCTTCTAGCCTTTCTGCAAACACCTTCAGAACGCTATTGCTGCTTCCCCTCAGTCTGCACAACACTGATGCCAATTTTTTGCGCATGATCACGAAATAATCCATCAGTGTGCGCATCCGCGAACATACCTGACGCACATTTATACAGGTAATTATTTGAAACTAAGAGCAAAGAGGTTGTTACGATTTGAACTACCTACAGTACCTACATAGTCTACATACATATCTAATGTAGCTCATATAATTTATTATTCATGAAGGAACTTTAGCACAAGTTCGTCTGAAGGCTCCAGGCATTAGAATTACGAATTATTAATTACAATGTGTGTTGTTACCAGGGCAAGTTTACTGTTTTTATTTTCTGTAAGGGTCTTAAAGATGTTTATTCTGTGTTATAAGGAGTTCTTACATCGGCTATGTTATGAAACATGAATTTAAAAGATAGATCGAACTATAGAAAATAAGAAAAACGAATATTATTGGACGAATATCATGGAATATATAAATATTATACAATTTCAAGTACAAATCCTGGCAAATAGAAGAAAGTGAAGATTGGTGATAAGATATTGATACTATGGTTGACTGTAAGAGAATGTCTTAAGGTATTAAGTCCGCCATTCACTGTTATGTTTTGGGATGAAGAAATAAATAAATAAATTTGTACGTCGTTTAAGGAGGGCAAATCATCGATTAATTTCTCCCGCCTAGGTGAGGTGGAAGGGAGTGTCAGAATCAAACTGACTAAAAACGACCCCGTTCCTACTCCTGCGTTGACGGTCTAAACTGTGTTCAGCTATAAATATCTGCCGACTGATAGTTATGATGATTCAACTAGGACGACGACATTTTTATCTACTTACACCTACCGTGAGACATACTAAATTAACTTAAGTCGCGGGTTACTCGAGGAAAAACCCCTCTGTGGTTCGAAACTATTAGAGCTTTTCTCAGTATATTCACGTGAGTAACCCGCAATTTTAGTTAATCTACATACACCTATTGATAATCAATACATTCTTGCTCACGACAAAATAAAATAAAGTAAAAGCAAGAAAGGATGGAATTTAATTTCCCAGCGACCATTACAAAGTGATAGACCATTCACTTCTCCATTACAAAAGACAAGAGCAGGTGTAGTGTAAAACTAATTGAAGAAATACCGCACGATTCTATAAAGACAGACTGAAGCAGATGGCAGCACCTTCGTTCTATTTCTGCCAATCAGAACGCGTTAAATTGACGGCGGGCTGCAAATGTATTTTGCGACCAATGAAATTGCATTGTCAATTTGTGAAGTACCTACCGTTGCGTTCGAAAAACTTTTATTCTAAAAAGAAGGATGCATGAAGGTTTAAATCAAAAGTACTACAAAATTTATACAATTTAGAAGAATGTGCTGACTCATTTCATTTAGGGTCCTAACCTAACCCCTTCTGAAGTTATCAGGTTATAAAATTTGAAATTTGACTAGCTCCCCACTTCCATATTATTCCAATTTCAAATCAAATCCCATTTCCTTTACTGGAAATTGTGACAGTTTACGGCCAGTTCGTCCGTTGACTGTTTTCAATATAATATCGAGGCAAGTGTACACTCGCGCACAGTCGCTCTAATTGAAGTAATAGCATTTGGAGCGAACGATTCAATTTCGATGGCTATCCGGTTCAACGATGTACGCTCGACTGGTAAAGTGTTAAGTGTTTTTGTTTTATTTTATTGCCATCTTGTATTGTATAGGTACATATTTCGATCGAGTGTGAGAGCTCGTCAAGTTTAGTTCAAGAGGATAAGTATCTTATAATTGTAATACTATTATGTAATGCTGTAGAATTTGTTTGTTTGTTTGATCGAACGCGCCAATCTCCAGTTTATCGAGGAAGGTTATAAAACATTACTCTACGATCAATAGAAGTTGAGCAGAGGGAGTGGAACCACGGCGGAAGTTGCTATCATCAATAATCCGTAACAATTCCACTGTTGAGACTCTAGGTGTCCACTACTAGTGGGCTTGCAATAATCTTCATGTTTGGTAGACGGGTTGGCGATCGCAATTTAAAAGTAAAAGTATCCGGCTTATTTATAAGTCTGTCAAGTATGTGGTCCCCTATTTGAACTGCCGCACATGGTCACACTCGCATTGGCCGTCACGAGCCACATGCAAGTGGCAATATTAAAAACCGATGGCGCAGTATCAAACTCCGCCTAAGCTCGTGTCGACGCGACCGATGTCGCTTTGAAATAGCGATTGGCGCAGTATTCCCAATTACAAAAAGGCTGGTACTGCAATTGTAAGGCCTCTGTTTCAAGTGTAAATTGGGGGGATAGTGTAGTGACAAATATTCTGTTGTCACAACAGCACACGTCGGAACTAACATAGATATAAAAACAAATTCACTAGAAGTACGTCCTGTACCTTCGTGTATTTGTTAGCTTTCCTCATTGACTCTCTCACGGCCGCGCAACTAATTGTTTGCGCGCCATGTTTGTGTGTTTAGGAAATCGTCTACCACACATCTTGATCAAATCTCTTCTAGTATTTTGTGCGTACTCAGATTTTATTTCTTTTGTTTGCTTCTTACTCTGTTATAGTTCAGTACAAGAGATATTTAACTGCCTAATATTGATTTGCAATGTATTCTTTGCGGTATCGTAACTTATTTTTAGGGATTTAATAATACTAATATTTTGCTTCAACCACAGTCAAAAACCAGAATTATAGTACACAGTAGCAACTAGTACACCATCGTCTTCATTTTTTTTTTGTTTTATTTTATTTTTTAAATTTAAAAAACCAACAGCGTTACATATACCTAGGTAGTTTACAATAGTTTGCGTGAATTACAGAGATTAAGGCTAATAATAGGTTTCCCTTATTTCCTAGATTTTTTAAAACATGCGAACGGACTTAATTAACTTAACAAAATAAGATCAAGATCGATGAATTTATATAGTTTCTAACCTATAAAACGCTTATAGGTAAGTAAATATTTATATAGTTATATAGATTCGAATATGTATAGGTATCTAAATGGAAAATTACCATTTCATTTTACACATTTAAATTCCATATTATTTTATGTTTACGTACAAAAGGTTCTACTAAGCCCACAGCGGCGACACAAAATTATAAAATATCGTACCTGCCTTTATCATCCCTAATAGTGCTTTAAATAAATGTAAATGGAGAATAAATATCCCTGGTTGCCATAGCAACCGGTTGGTACTCCACAAAATTATTTCCCCAGTATCCCCTGAGGACTTTTATATTAATTTAAATCTCTCTTGTTACAGGGGTTTTGGCAAACAAGGATACCAGTGTCAAGGTAAGATTTAAAAAATATAAATTAAATGGCGACTAAATGGTGTTATAGAAAAGTCTATAATGAGAATGGTGAATTAATGAAACGATATGACGTTACAAGATCTGATTTTTGTAATCTAAATTGCTATTGGGTGAATACTAGCTGAATAGTATAGATGACTATTTTTTATTTTAATGTCCGTCTGGTAGATTATTTTAAAACATTAGACACGAATTTCCTTACAGATACAAATACTTTCTATGATAATTATATTGATTTAAAATGTCGCGTGGCGTCACTTTTAGAGACGTTTTATACTTACAAATGACGTTTTTACTCCCACTCCTAAACTTTGATTTGTTTTATCTAAGTAACGTTTTCTTATACGACAAAATAAAAAAATACGTGTCTCATTTCTCAATTGCCGACCTGACGGACTAATTAGATTTTTAATTTTCATACCCTGTCATCGTCCCTATTGGATCTAGGAACAGTTTATTTAAATTTATAATATGTCGCTGGATCAAACGGTCGCATATTCATTCTGGTTCATTATTAAATATGTGTGCATATTCGTGTGCTGCGTGACTGTATATTTAAATATCTTAGGTCCAAACTAAACCCACGTTTAATGTGTTATACTACCGTCATAACAACGTCTCAAAATCGCTAAATCCATTCTCAATAGAATATATGAAACGTAGAATGTAAAGAACTCTTTCAAACATTTCTTTCACTAAGTAGTCTAAGAGCTAGATAAGACCTCTTTGTCGTCATCTTATATGTTATCTGTGCAGTGTGCAGCTTTGTGGTCCACAAAAGATGCCACGAGTACGTGACGTTCACCTGCCCTGGCGCAGACAAGGGCGCGGATTCCGACGTAAGTATTGCCAGCCTTTTTATTTAATTTTTACCCAATATTGGTGGAAAATTGACTGGATTTTGTTGAAAGGGTTTCTGTGAGTAATTGAGTACACATTTTTAATTTTTGAACAATGTTTGTGTTTAAATTGTGAAAATGTGAACTAGAATATTAAGGTTTTGTTTTTTGTTATAAGTATATATTAATTATATATGTCTTTCGTCATACGAAGGTGGATTGCATTGCTATGTAAGGTAATGGTATATTTTTTATATGTGTAAGTTTGTTTAAGATATTTTCAGAAATTGTAGGTTGAATTAATACAGTTTATACTGTCAATACAACACCACGTTCGATTACCCAACAGTAAAACATATACACACTACCATTTTATTAAAAATCTACAATACAACAGTTATTTACGTACAAACAACACATCAAAGTATTATTTTTAATTAAAAATTAACACAATTTGTTGGCAGAAAGCATAAAGTAATTATTTGTGTATCAGTTTGCGTGTACGCCAACTCGAGTGGGCTCGCCCATCAACAAGTACCGCGCAGTGCACTCAAACTTAATGAGTTTCTGTTTCATAAATACTTACATAGTATACACAATTACAGATACACAGGGAAAACAAAGTAAGGGGACTTTATTTCCACATCCATTATTGTTTTCAATAGTTATAGTACTATTTACACATTAAACTCAGAATATAGTATTCAATATCATTTTTTCATGTAATATTCATATAAATTCAGCTGTCTCTTCGACTATTATAACCAATAAAATTGTGATTTAAAAATAAATTGGTTTCTTTCGCGTACTTCCTTAAAGATTCCACTCTTCGTTAATTAAAAATGTTTAAAAACTTTCGTAATGCAGGAAGAATGTTAAATAGAAATTAATTTTCAGTTAACAAAATGTCGAACAGGAAACCATCGTTGATCAAGCTTTATGTTTACATAAACGAACATCTTCCTCCCTTCAAGAATAATTTGATAATTTTCATAATTCCAAAAATCCACATGTATTTCAATCTCAAAACACGAAACGCATGGATATAAATAAACAACGTAAAAGATAATTAAGTCCATAATTTTCGCGGAGAAAATTAGCGCCATAGTCTTTCATTAGTAGCTAACCCAAGCGATCAGAGTAAAATATGATAGGAAAATTTTCTCATAATGAAAATAGACGAAAACCTAATATAAAAGCAGGTCACGAAGATTAAAATCGAGTCTCAAGTACAAAATTGTTTAATAATGGTTCATCACTTCAAATAATACGTTATTAACGTCAAGCGGCCATGTTGAATTAATTGGCGGGAATGAGACACCGCCATTTTGTTGCGTTTCAAATAGATCACAATTGGTGCAATTTGTTGTAACAGGTCTGTTATTAAATGGTGTAGGGGTAATTATGTTGTCTAGTGTATGGATGGGAACTCGTTTGTTAAATACATTGTAAATGGCCAATCAAATTGTTGAAATTGCAAATATTTTTCAGTTACAACGACATTGTGTATATTGTGAGAACAATCGATAGCCTTGTAGGAGAACGATGTATGTGACAACATTTTCTTTGATACGTGGTCATATAAGATTGAATTAAGTAACTGAATTTACGAAATTAAGCTAGAAAATAAAGATATAATTCAAATGATACTCAAATGAAGAGTTCATATTTAATCCAATTAAACTGTCAAACACCAAGCGGTCACCGGTGACCGCAACCTATTGTTCTATAATTGTGTCTACAAAACCGGTACTCGACGAGTTAAGAAGGTAACCTTTATGTTAATTAAGAAGGAGAAATAAGCAAATAATTAAATAAATGAATGAAAGATATGCCTCAAGAATTGCCTAAGATTATCGTTACAAAATTAACCTTATATTATCATCATCATCATCATCATCATCATCAACAGTCTATAAATGCCCACTGCTGAGCAAAGCCTCTTCTCACACGGAGAAGGTTTGAGCATTAAACACCACGCTTACTCAATGCGGGTTGGCGATTACAAACTTATAATTAGAAATTATAAGCCCAGGTTTTTTCATGATGTTTTCCTTGACCGTTTGTCAGTGGTGTCTAGATAATCTTAGAAAGTACATATAACTCACAAAAAGTCACATTGGTACTTGTCGTTGGTAGGTTTCGAGCCTGCGCCCTCATCCATGAGAAACGGGCGTCTTAAACCTCCTGGCCACCACAACCTTATATTAACCAAGTGTTAAAGAAAATGAGCACTTTGAATTGACAAATAAGGTACACAATTTAAATTACAAAATGTAACAATTGTTTTTGTTTGCAAAGCCGGTGTTTTGGAACTGCGTTTGGAAACTTCAAAATGGTTAAAGTTATGCTGTTTTAGTGTTGTTTAGTTGTCACCTTGTTGCTTGCCTTGATAGTGTAATTCTTGCAAATATGCAACAATGTTGTTGACTCTTAGCTTACAATTTGGCGCTAGTGAGTTATTGACGTTTCAAAAGTACCAAATTATGGTTTAATTGAAATAAATGCTTTGACTTTGACTTGATAGTCTAGTGGTTGACTGCCATTCTCCATGAAATAATGTTTTATGAAATACTAACTTCTGCCCGCAACTTCTAACGGGCAATCCTATTTTTTTCCGTTCCCGTGGGATTTTCGTTGTCCTGTTTCTATTCTAAGTTACCAATGTTTAGCCAAGTCGGTTTAGCCGTCGGTGAGTTGGAAATAACAAATAACACAACTTTCTTTTTTATAATATAATTGTGTAGGTATAATATTAGTCTTATTTGCAGGTATGTATAAATATTTACGTTCAGATGAACATCGAGGTAATAGAAAGTGTTTGATAGACGAGTCAATGTGGAAAAAATTATTCTCATCGTGTTTCAATAGTACGCCGCGTCGCGTTCCGCGCGCGTCTCAAAGAGCCATCAGACCACCATGGGGCTCAATAGGGCTGATGCCGATACGGAGCCGCGGAGAATCTAACGGGTTACCGGGGCTCCGGCTCGAAGTGCAGGAGAAGGAACGGGGTGGTTTTTCAGTCAGTAAAAGTCGGATACTCCCTCCCGCCTCACCCAGGCGGGAGAGTGTATTCGATGATTTTCACCCCTTAAAAAAAACGTTTTTATAGAAAAACAAGTAATGGCAATTACAACAAATAATGGCAATTCCTTATTACTTGGCAGTGGAGCATGTGACCAATAAATTAGAAAAAGTTTTTTCGAAAAAGATATTTAAGTAAGTACGTATTGCCCGTCACTTCTGAACTATTTACTAGAGAGTGACAGTATCTAAATACGACTGCCATTTACGAAATATTTGGACCGTGTAATAACAAGGTCTAAGCCTCACTACCTACGTATTACCATACTGTGTATAATTTGTTTATTTATTTAACATTTAATGTGCAAATACTCAAACACCACTCAATTTGAAATCTCGCTTAAGTTACCTATATCACTACCAATTATTCGTAAAATGACAGAGATTTTTTTATGGCATAAGCCGGTAAACGAGCAGACGGATCACTTGATGGTAAGAAAGCGTCGCGCAATGACACCTGGAACACCAGAGGCGTTAAAAGTACGTTACCGGCCTTTTGGGGATTAGGAATTTGAGGATTGTTGGGGTACCGGGATTGGGGAGATAGTGCGAGAGGGTAATTGTGCCTCCGGTAAACTCACTCACACGACGAAACACAACGCAATATTGTTTCACGTCGGTTTTCTGTGAGGCTGTGGTATCACTCCGGTCGAGCCGGCCCATTTGTGCCAAAGCATGGCTCTCTCATACTTATTTTTTTTTAGTCATGTCTTCCTCTTCCTTATTACATAATGTTATTCAAACGAACAGTAAGAGAGGGTTAATTAAGTTGGAAAAGATAACATTTTTATGAGTTCTCCGAGTGGCTACTTAAAGGCATTGTTTGTCTGACAAGAATTAAGTAGCTAATTAAAAGTTACATAATGGTGTTTAGGTACCTAAGTACTAGCTTTGAAATATCCAGGTCATTTACTTTCGTTATTTGTGGAATTTGAATATTTTCCTAAAAACAGTCTTAAAAGCACATCAAGGTAACCTTAACTTTGGTGGATTTTCGACTTTATTGCTTATTGAATAGCATTAAAAGTCTATTAAATAATTTTGACAGTTTGCAGCAGCTTTGATGTGTCAAATTATTATACTATACACAAGATAATATAAAATTGATTCGTTAAAGAGACATAGATATAGGAACGTTGTTTTGCTATTGAGCCGACCAATAGTGACAAAAGATTTGGCTTCGTTAAAAGCATATGATTTAATAATAACTACTGTAACTGCCTAATTCAAACTCAAAAGCGTTTATTTTCTTTCTTTCTTTAAACCATAATTTGCTACTTTTGTATTAAATTAATAATTATTTTTTAGTACACACAAAAAGTGTGGGAGACCCATGCTTCGGTACGAATGGGCCGGCTCGACCGGAGTGATACCACGGCCTCATAGAAAATCGACGTGAAGCCACGCTTGTGTTTTGTCGCGTGAGTGAGGTTACCGGAGGCCCTATTACCCTCCCCTTCCCGAATATCTAAATCCCCAACGATCCTCATCCCCAAAAAGCCGGTAACGCACTCCTCCTAATCCCCAAAAAGCCGGTAACGCACTTGTAACGCCTCTGGTGTTCCAGGTGTCCATGGGCGACGCCGGTTGCTTATCATCTGGTGATCTGTCAGCTCGTTTACCGGCTTACGCTGTAAAAAAAAACATAATTTGACTGTCTGCGCATTTGATGTCCATGTTTCGCCAGTTATTTTATCCGTTATTTATAATTATAACCAAACTATATTTTTAACTCCTTTTAAACTTCTATGAAACCACAAAGAAGAGCTACATAGTTTAAAATACATAATTACGTTGAAATAAATATCTTTTAAACTTTAAATGTTATTTTCGTTGTTTTAATGATATTCGCCGCCGCCTCAGGCGTTCATTTGCGAAGTTTTGTGTTCATTTCGTTAAGGAAAGGTCACGGGGTA